AAAGTCACTTTAAAAATTAAGGCTCTTACAACTTTGTAAATTTGTCATCAAGTTAAATGAGTCAGGATTCATTTATTAATGTTGAATTGTGATTTTATATATTTTTCTAAAATGTACTGCAGTTTGTACAGAGCTTAAGTTACACTCTTGGTATAGTAATGAATACTTTTATTCAGCATGAATGCATTAAACTTATCAAATGTGACCGTAAAGACATTACAAAATATTCGTATTCCATATAAATGCAGGTTTTGAACTATAATCACCAAAAATCCTGAGAAAAATTATACAAATTTGAGCACTAAATCACTATTAGAATGCATTTCTGCAGAATGAAGACTGGAGTAATGGCTGTTAAAAATTTAGCTTTGCCATCACAAGAATAATTTTAATTTATTTGATTTTTCAAACATTTTTCTTTTGAAAACGTAAATCTTAGCAACCCAAAACTTTTGAACAATGTAAACGAGAGAAGTTGTAATCTGATTTGTTTGTTTTAGCTCCTAAAGTGGCTTTCTCAGCTTCTCTGTTGAGCTCTTTCGGACCACAAAGCGTTGGACCCTTTCATAATGGTCTACACACCCTGATTTATGAATATGTCTTCCTTAATATTGGAGACGCCTATGATACAAACACAGGTGAATCTATTCATATAGTGTGACTGTATCTGGGATTTTCTATAATGCTCTCATTTGAATGCATCTAATTAACCACTGTCTGTTACAGGAATCTTTACAGCACCTGTGAGGGGAGCGTATGCTTTCAGGGTCTTCTCCAAGGCCTTTGGAAGTCCACAGAGAGCCGTTACTGCAGGCCTGTTTAAAAATGACCAGCACATCATTTCTACACATGGACACCAAGCAAGCGGTTTTATCAGCTCTTCAAATGGAGTCTCTCTGCTGCTAGAAGAAGGGGATCAAATGAAGGTGAATCTCTATCCTGGACAATGGATTTTCGACGATGGAGAACATCATCACAGCACATTCAGTGGACATCTACTTTTCCCCATGTGAGCTTGCAGATCATTTATAAAAAAAAATTTTTTTTTAAAAACCAAAAGCATGTCCTTAAATCATTGTACTTAATGTAACCGAATATATATAATCAAGTGGCTGTCAAATTCATATAATAAAAAAAATATTCTTAATATGGCTTTAAGTCAGTAGTGTCATTAGTGCCTTCATGCATGTAAAATTAAAATGTGTAGAATGCAACATTACAACTGATGGAAAAAATTACAAATGTATGAATAATGACTGTCTTTTTAGCTGATGTTCAGGAAGTCAACCTTTCCAAGACAGGAAGCACATGCTCACCCTGTGTCTCAGCACAAACAAATTCATGGGTTCACCTCCAGCAGCTTAACCTGTGAAATATAGAGAATTTAGAAATATAGAAAAAATATGCATACACCATGCATAGAAGCAAGAATAAAAATACTTGTTTCTTAGTGCATCTGTTAACGAGTTTAACGGTTCTGTCATGAGACGAAGAGGCTCTCTGTAAGCTGCAGTCCACTAATTTTGTCTGTGTGTGCCTAATATTAGAGGTGGAAAGTAACCAATTCCAAATACTTTTGTTACAGTACTGGAGTTTTTTTTTATTTATTTTTTTTTTATACTTGAGTAAAATTTAATTGTGGTACTTAAGTAGAATAAAACTAAAGTATTCAACTTCGCTACATTAATTTTTCAAGAAAAGTACAAAGTACAAAAAAAAGGGCAAAGAAGGTGCCGATGGAGAAACAGAGCGAGCTGGCGTTTGACGGGTACTTTTCAAACTCCTGGGGTGGAGCCCTGTGCTTCAGCCAATAACAGACAGGTCTGACTCGGGTGCAAAACTAATCAAAACTTCCAGTTCAAACCGCGCTTTGCTTTGACTGTCTCACCTGCGTTGTCGTTTTGAATCCGCATCATTAGCGTTTTAGTGAATGTGGGTTATGCTCTGATTTTAAATCGTAATTTTGTCGGCTCCTGAAATGGGTCATACCATCGATATTACACAGCAGTATAAGTAAATAGTAACTCGGTTGATAGAAGGATGCAGTTATTGCATGGATTGAGCAAGAACAATGTAAGTGTCTAAAATACATGCACAGTTCAATTGAATGATAAAAATCGCCCTTTTTTAACAGTGCAGTTAAACTAAGCTAAAATAAACTCAACATTAACAACATTGAAATAAGAGCGCATGCATGTTACCTGCATCTGGCTGATAGACTAACCATGATTTCTGTCAATCAGATGCATTTTAAATAACTTATTCTGTGTGTGTGCTTTGAATGTGTGAGCACATGGGCGTATAAACAAGATAGTCTATGCTTTGGATGTGTGAGCACATGGGCGTATAAACGATAGTCTATGTATGACCAAACAATTTATTAATATCCAAAACGAGACGATATGGACATTATGAAGCGCTTAAACACGTTCATGCAGTGTATGTTTCATTCATACTCGAAGCCGGAGGGTGCTC